CATAAATAAAGAAAGTAAAAAGAAAGGGGAAGAGAAATAGAGAGAGAGGAAGGGAAAGAGAGGATTGAAAAGGAAGAATGTTCGAGCATTTACTGGTAAATAGAATAAATATACCTTATAATAAGTAAAGTAAGAGTCTATGTAATATGAGAGGTAAAAATTCTTCCAATAAGCTTAGCAACAATTTGTAAAATAAATTAAACAACGAGTAGTGTAATAAACAAAAATAACGAATTAGTGGTTTTTTTTTTTTAAAAAAAAAAGAAAAACTTTTTGAAGTTTCATTTTTTCTTTAATGCTAATTTATCAATTATAAGATGAGAAACTTAAAAAAAATTAGATAGCAAATAAAATCAAAATTAATAATAATAGAATGAGTAGCAATAGATTTCATAAAAACATGTGATTACATAATTAATTGATTAGTTATTAAACCAATTCAAAAACAACTAAATTAATTTAATTAAATGGATTAAAAACATATTTAATTTTCAATTAAAAATAATCAAGTCAATTAAAAAACAATTAAATTAATTTAACCAATTTAGTTAAAAATAGTTAAATTAATTTGTTTAATTAAAAATTTATTTAATTTCAATGAAAACATTTGATTATCGATAAAATTCCAATAAATTAATATAAAAAAAATTGAAAAAAAAAAGTTTCAATGTAAAAATAAAAAAAATATTAGAGATTTATGTGAAATTTAATTTATTTAGAAATGTGTAATACATTTGAGAAATAATAATTTAAAATAAAAAAATGAAATGAAAGCGAGGAGAAAATGAAAAGTATTATTCCCATATGAAATAAATTGACTAAAAGTTAGAAAAATCTATGATTTATAAATGTAATATATTCAAACTATTTTAATCTTTCAATTTTTGTTTTTTATTTTTTGAAAAAAAAAAAAAAGTAATGCAATTTCTTGTTGGTTTATAAAAATATTTTTATACTTTCTTTCTTTTTTTTTTTTAAGGAATGGAAATGAAATTATTGATAGCTAACTTATTCTAATTTATATTATCGATAATATTTTAAGTATTGAAAAAAAAAAAGATTTACATTCATATTATGAAAATTTGAATAAAAAAATTGTTTTGAAATTTAAATGAGAAAATTAGGCTATAATATGTTTTATGATCAAATTTAAATTTACTATTTATTATTTTGCAATTGTTTAAATATGTAAATTTGAGATATGTAAATAATTTTAAATATAAAACATTTTAAACTATTATAACTTAAGAAAAAAAAAGCATAAATGTTCGTTTGTAAGTAAATTTAAATAAATGAAATAAATAAATGGCTAATATTGTTATTTTTTTTTAAAAAGAAAAAAAAAGATTAATAATACTAATAAAATTAAGATAAAAACGAAATTTTTTTTTTTTTAAAGTAGAAATTTTATTTTTTAAGGAATAAAAATGAAATTATTGATAGCTAATTTATTCCAAAAAAAAAGAAAATAGTTAAAAAAAAATTAGCGAAATTAATTAATACTATAAGATTGAATAGGAAAAGGAAAATAAAAACAATTTAAAGAAAAAAAAAATGAAACATTTCAAATATAATTGAATAAATTTATAAATGATATATTAAAAAAAATTTTTTTCCCAGCAATTTTACATTTTCATTAATAATTTTTTGTTTCACTTTTCATTTGCATAAAAAAAAAATATATTTTAAATGTGTTAGAAATGTTAACGATAAGTAAAACTTCAAAAAAGAAAGGTATAAATTGAATTTATCATTTGAAAATTTTAGCATAATGCAATTTCATATTTTAATTAATTGAAAATATTAAATATTAGCCTATCCTAGGAATAATAATTATTATATCAAATAATACTTGAATGAGATTTGAAGAAAGAATGATAAAATAATTGAATAAATTTATAATAATGAAAATTTTATTGAGAAAGAAAAAAAAAAACAAACAAACAAACAAACATAAAAACAAAGTTATAATACTTCAAAGCATTTACTTTTGATAATGCTAAAATAAAGTTTTAAATCTTAAATTACTTTTTTGATTTTTACAAAATAATTTTTATATCATATCTTTCAACTTTTATAAATTTAAAATTTACTACGAAACTTTTTTTGAAATATAATTTTATTTTTGTAAATTTTAGTATTAATTAATTATAGCTTAATTAAATGTTTCATTTTTATACAAATTCTGTGCTATTAAATAATTATTAAGTAATTTATTATAGTATTACAAAAATAATCAAATAAATGATTCCTAAATGTTTAAAAAAAAAAAAAAAAAAAACTTTGTTTTAATTTTTTTTATGCAAAAATAATTTGTGCAATTAAATGAAATATAATTTGTAAATCAATGAACATCAAAATTTTCATCAAAATCTCAAAATTAAGCAAAATAATTTACTTCTCAATTGCTTAATCATTTTAAAGCTAACTGATACAATCAAATAAAATTGTTAACAATGTAAAATAATTGTAATTAACTTAAAATAATTGTAATTAAATTAACATTTGATATAGTTTTAAAAAAACAATAAATTTCATTTTCTAATCCTACAAACAATCCATTTGCTAACAAATATTTAGCAATAAAATTGGCTACATTTGCTGCTTCGCTTCATCAAGTAATATTTATTTGTTTACCCAATCTTTTCCATTCTATTATTCTCATATTATAATTGCAATTCTTATTTACTTCAATTAATCTTCAAAGCTCGTCCCCCTCTCTCTGTCCTTCTCTCTCCCTCTCTCTCTGTCCCTCTCTCTGTTTATCTTTCTCTCCCTCTCTTTATGATAAATTTAATCCATAATATTGTTTTATGCTATTTAATATTGTAAAAAAAAAGGCAAAAAGAATAAAAATTTAATTTAATAAAAAAAAAAAGAAAAAACAAATTAATGCAAATATATTTATAAATCTTTCTTTTTTAATTTTAAATATTTAGTTTTTTTTTTTTTTATATATATTAATTTCTAAAAAAATCAAATAAAAAATTTTTTTTTGTAATCGTTAAAAATTGATTGTAAAATTTAATCAATTATTGATTGATTTGTTTATTACTTATGAATTTATGTAAACAAATACGTTTAAAGCAAAAAAAAACAAAAACTGATTGACATTAATCATTGTTCTATTTTATATAACTGAAAAGATTTGTTTTTTTCATTTCCAACGAATGATATATAATAATTAAAATTTGAAATTGATTTTTTGTATGAATTTCAAGTACCATTTATTGTAATTCATTTTTTAATTAAATGACAAATTAATTATTATAAATTCTTTTCGTTTAAATAAATTTAACATTCATATAGAATTGCATTATTATTTTTTAATATGTAGCAAAATGCAAATATCAATGAAAGATTTCTTTGTTTTTTAATTCGAATATTTCAATTTTATTTTTTAAATTCAAATTTCACATAGAGTAAAAATTGTTAGTATTTTTGGTGTGAAATTTGATGAAATTAAGAGTAATTTAATAGCATAATGATACTAAAGAAAAATTATATTGAGAATTATTTGTATCAAATTTTGATAATAATAATATAAAATAAATAATAATAATAATATAAATAAAAATGAATAAAATCAAATTACATTATATTACATTGTTATAATAACACTAATCATTTATTCATTATTTCAGTACTAATTATACTATAAAAAAATAAAAATTAAAATTTGACTAAATAATAACAAATTAAAAGATCAAAAAAGAAAGAAATAACAAAACAAAGTTTAAAAAAGTAAAAAATAAAACTGAAATAAAAAGAAAGAAAAGAAATAATGAATAAAATTAATCCAAAAATAAAATAAAATAAAATTTACTTCTGTTTTATTAGAGAAAAAAAATTGATTTCAAAAAAAAAAAGAAAAAAAAAAATTAAAATATATAAAAAGTTGAAATGAACGAAAAAAAAAGCTCCATGTAACGTTCATTTCAAATTATTACTTCAAAAAAAAAATGAAATCCATTTTGAATGAAATCTGTTACATTTGTAGTTAAATTGACATTTCTCACTTTTTTTTTTAAAAAAAATTTTTTAAAAAAAATATTTGCGCAACGGAACATTTCTTTTCTGTTTTTTTTTTTCTTTTTCTTTTTTACTTTCTTATTTTTAATGTTAGCTTTAACATAAAATAAAATCTTTTGAATGAAATATTAGCAGAGTCAATTGTCACTGAATGCGACAATTGAGCATGTCAATTGTCACTGAATGCGACAATTGAGCATGTCAATTGTCACTGAATGCGACAATTGAGCCCCCACCCACCCAAAAAAAGAAAAAAAGCAAAGTTTGTTATTTGTTCATTTCAATATTACTTTTCAATTTCTTTTGAGTATTTGCTAATATTTTCATTTTTCACTTTTATTTTTCCTTTTTCTAAACTTTTTTTTTTCATTTTTTCATTTTAAATAGCACAACAATTTTGCATGAAAAGTTAGTTAGTTTTTAAAATGGTTAAGAAAAAAAAAAAAAAAAAAGAAAAAAATTGAACAAATAATTAGCACTGAAATAAATTTCTTTTAAATGTTTAAAAATATATTTAAATCAAAAAAAAAAAAGAATAAAAGAACAAAACATTCGTTTAATTTTAAAATGTTTAAAATTTAATTAATGATATTATATTTGAATGGAAATTTTGTGTTATTTTAAAAAGTATTTGAAACTTTAAATAAGCTAAATTTTAGCAAAAATTTTCAAAGATAATTATGCATGCACTAATATTTTTAATAAAATTAATTAATTTTAAGTTTTTTTTTTTTGCGCCTTTATTATTGATATTTTAATGATTGAATGTTAAAAAAGGAAGGAATTTCTAGTGCTAAATTAGTTACAATGTGAAATTTTTTATAATATTTCAAATTTAATTTAGGCAAATTAAATTTTTAAAAGTATTTAATTGATAGGTAAGAGATACTTAAAGATATATTTCAAATCTCATAAATCTTAGAGCAAGAAAACTTGAAATCTTGAACAACAAGTCTTAAATATGTATTTTAAATCCTGTAAAATCTTGGGGTTTAAATTATAATGGATTGTTATGATTTTTGATAACTTTAAAAAAAAAAATTTAAAATTTTAATCTGTATTGTTTGTTTAGTCATTTTCAAAAATTTTATTACATTATTATTAATTAAATAATCAATGATAAAATGATAATAACAACAAATTTGTTTTTCTTTTTTTCCTTTTTTATTTTAAAATTATACAAATAAAAACCAAAACTAAAACAAAAAAAAAAAAAAAGGAAAAGCATAACAGTTATCACATACAATGATATGATTATTATGAATAATTAAAATAGAATAAAATAAAAAGCAAAAAAGAAAAACAAATTTTGGCACTTAAATTTAATGTTTGAATATTTGACGACGATGATATGTGATTGATAGCTGATGATAACCTGGTTATACCGGATGAAATTGTATTCGGATTACACATATTTGAACCAGGTATTCTCCATTTACGCAATTTATATGGATGACCATCTGCAGCAAATAAATATTTCATTAATTAATTAATGAGTAATTAGTTAATTTGTGCTTAATTAAAATTAAAAAAGTATATCAAAAATCTAATTGGATATTTTAAAATTCTTTTACAATTCGTTTCGTTTACAAGTAATAATAATAATCAAATTTTAATATTTGCAAATGTAAACATAAAAGCTAATTGATTGATTGATTGATCAATTGATCGATTGATGAATTTCATTAACTTACATGAATTAACTTTTCCAAATAATAGTACCGATGTATTCCTTCTTGGACGTTCCATTTCAAAACTGAAATTAACAAAAAAAAAAAAAAAATGCTCAATAAATGTTTAATTATTAATTTCATAAATAACATATTCATTTCTCTGATATTATTATCATAATTTTTTTTATTAAAATTAAATTTTACGCACTGCAAAAAAAAAAAAAAAAAAAAAAAAAAAACAAAGGAACGAAACAATTTGAAAATAATATTTTAAAAGGTAAATATTTACATAATCGAAATAATTTGACTGAAATTAAATTGCTAAAAGAAAAAAAAAAGTGAAAAATTTCATTCAAAAAATGAATTTATTTATGCTATAAACAATTTATATTAAAATGTAAAATTATGTAAATTAAAAAAGAATAAAATTTATTATTCAAAAAAAAAAAATAATTTACCGACAAAATGTTCGCAAACCATCGTTAATTGTTTTTAATCGTTTGCTACGCGGTCGATCAAATATATTTGGGAGACCCCGGTCACCGGTTATATAATAATCATTCATCGATGAATTATTTCTTGTTGAAATACATAGTACTGCACGCTTTTCACTCTAATTTATATAAATTACTTTTTACATTAAAGTAAAATAAAATTTTTTTTTGCAATAGTAAGTTAAATTAAATTAAATATTATAAAATATTAATAATCAAATATATGAAAATAAATGGAGTAATAATAAAAGAAGAAGTAATGATAGTAGAGCAAATATAAAACAAATAAATAATGAGAAAAGGTTAGAGGTCAATATTGCAAAATTAAATTAATATCAAATAAATTAATATGAAAATAAAATTAGTGTAAAGTGAAATTTCTCATTAAGCTAAATGTGAAATTTCAATTTTGCATTAAAATTAATTACCTATTTATATATTCTTTCATCAATAATCTTTTTATTGATAATCAATTTTTCTATTTGGTAATTATCATTTAGTTTTGTCCTCTAATTTTGTAACTATTAAATTACCATATTTTAATTAGCAATTTCCTTTCCTTGCATTTACATACTTTTAATTAAATAACAATATTTAAATAAATAAGTATGTGTCACATGTCATGAATATATTAAATATAGTAATTGGAAGAATTTTCATCAAATTAAATTTAATTAAAATAAATTTGCATACTTCAGTTAAGCCAAATGATGCGACACGACCATAATGTGTCGCTTCAACGATCATCGATTTCTTATAGCAACGCCATTTTAATGAGAAATGACATGTGTCACCGAATAAACATTGTTGATTACCAATTTTAAAACAACCATATGAGGTACCACAACCTTGTTTTGATACTAAAATTATTGTTTAAAATTTTAAAATTAAAACATTTTCTAATTTTCTGTCTTTTTTTTTTTTGTATTCGCTAATAATATCAAATTATTTTTTTTTTTTTAATAATATCAAAATTAAATAGAAATAGCATCAATATTTAAGAATAACATAATGTAAACATTAAGCTTATTAAATATAATTATTTAAGATATGAATTTAAATAAATATTAAATATTTGAAAATGTATAGTTAATGCAATTAAATGATATAATTTAATCAAAAAATAATAATTGAAAAAAGTTATTAAAAATTGAAATTATATTTGTGTTCATTTCAAAAAGAGAAAAGTAACTTTTAGAGGAAAGAGAGAAGAACAAAACGGATTTAAAAAAAAAAAAAGAATTAAATAAATTGAAACAAACATTGAGTTGAATTAGAGATTGGTGAAATGAATGATGATCGAATGTGATACAATTGTTTAGAATGGATGACACTTGCTAAGAAGACAATTGCGCCCGATGGGACATTCGGTGGTTGCCATCTTAGACTGGAATGTCGTCTGGATACGGTACCATCATTGATTATAGCACTTCCTGTAAAAGTAGAGAAATTATCATTTCAGGTATATTATTAGTTTAAATAAAAATTTTTTGTAATATTAGGTTAAAAAAAAAAAAAAAAAAAATTATTTTTTTCTTTGATATATTTATTTTTTAATTTATTTTATACGTTTATAATAAAAATTGCATAATAATAAAATTGTTTATTCATTATTACATATTAAAATAGAATACTATTAAAAATTTATCAATTACATTAAAAAAAAGTGTTTTTTTTTGTTATCAAGTTATTAGGTTAAAAATTTGGTTTTTATATTTTGCTATCAAGTTATTAAGTTAAAAATTTGGTTTTTATATTTTGCTATCAAGTTATTAAGTTAAAAATTTGGTTTTTATATTTTGCTATCAAGTTATTTCCATATATTTGTTATCAAGTTAAAATGGAGAAAAAAAAAGTAGAAATATAAATGAATAAAAAAAAAAATACAAATTTTTATTATCAAGTTATTAAGTTAAAATCTGATTTTGTCATCAAGTTAATTAATTAAAATGGAAAGGGAATTGAAGTAGAAATATAAATGAATAAATGATTAACAGATTAAATGATAAAATATAAGAAAAAGGCATTATTAATAATAAAAAATCTGTTTTAAATTTTTAAAATGAATAAAATAAGACGAAAAGTTGAAGCTGCCAAAAGATGAAAAGCATTTGAACTAACCATAACTACCACTACAGTTGACAAGTTTGAAATAATTAGGTATTGGTGAGACGAAACGTCCTACTTGAGCCGTTGGATTGATAATTGAACGTGCCTGTATCTGTGCTCGTTCAAATGGGCCACCTTCTACCCGTACTATAAATAATTCTCTTTTTTTTTTGTTTTAATTAAATATAATACTTAAAAAATTAAATAATAAAAATTAAAAAGAAAAAGATATTATATTAATTATGTTTTATTCCAATTTACTACATATAAATGTTAAAATTTGAAATGTTTGTAATGAAAAATACAATTATAATTAGTATTAGTAGGAATGAATTATTTAAATTATATTTTCAATTAAAATACGATTAAAATTTTCAAATTTGAATCATTTGTTTTTTTTTTAAAAACAAAATTTAAAATAATTCATGCAATTAAGAATCATTTCTAAATTTTGCAAATAAATTAATTCAAATGATTAGTATTGATAAGAAAAAACAAAAAAAAAAAACTTTTTTTTCTCTATTAAAATGAAAAATTTTATAAGTTTAGTATACACTTCCTATTCTATTAAATAAAAAATTTTTTTTTTTTTTTTTTTAAATAAAAAAAATTAAAACAAAAAAAAGTAAAAAGAAAAAAAAAAAAAAAACCTTGTAAAATTTTCTTTTTTTCTGCATCATATTCAAATGTTTCACGATCATTGCTATCAAAAATGCGCATTTTAAAAATAGTTTGTTTCATTGGTGAAATGATATTTTGATTATAAATTGGTATCATTAGATTACAAGCTGGTTCAGTGATAGTAAAATCAATTTGTTTCATTATTCCATTTATCATTGATAATTGATTTGTTATCATTATCAGTAATATTACTATTAAATGCATTTTCCTTCCTTTCTTCTTCTTTTTTTTTTTTGTTTACACTAATTAGTAATAATTAGCTTTTGAAATAATCAATAATTTCTTAGCTTTCAACAAAATTTTTCGCTTTTTTGCAGTAGCAGTAGGAGCAGAAAATTAACAGATGAATAAATGAAAATAATTATTATTATTAGTTAATAAATATTTGTAATATTTTTGTTACATTTAAAAAATTATTTCATTCATTTATCATTTCTTAATTTAATTTAATTTTTTTTTTTCAATTAATTACAAAAAAAAATTTTTTTTTTTTTGTTTTCTCTTTTGTAGGATAGAATAGAATGGCGTAGAAATGAATGAAAAATTGTAGTAATAATTAAAAATAGTAGGAAATAAATTTCCATTGAATATTCAGTTTTAATAAATCAAAGAATGAATGAATGAATGAATGAAATTAGTTTGAATTTTGATTAATTAACATTGGAATAATCGTTGAAGAATAGTAAATTGGACGATATTGTTGATTGTTATTGCATTCTATTCTGAAAGTAAACAAATTAACAAATCAACAATTAATTAATTAATTAATTAATAATTACGATAAGTTTTTTATTGGACAATGAGAGATTTTAAAAATTTATTAAAACCAATAAATTAATACTAATTTTGCAAATACGTTGATAAAACATAAACTGAAGCGATAAATGAGCAAATATTAAAATAATTTGTTTCATATTAGAATTTATATTATTTATCAAACAAATTAATTAAATCTAAATGAGAATAAATTTTAAATTTGTGATTAAATTTATCATAATACTACTAATAAATAAGGTATATATACTTTAAATAATAGCAGAGAAAATTTTTGTGTAAAGTTTATGTGATAATTAAGTTTATAATATGAGCAAATAAAAAATTAAAATTTAATTGAAAGATACAAAAATGTGATTTAAAAGAAAAAAAAAAGCAAACAAAATGCGTTAAATTTGATAAGCGCGAAAGGTTTAATAAATGAAGAATTAATATTATCAAAAATTGGTTAAAATAATAAAATTTATTATTTACTCATTAATAAATTAATTAGTAAATATTTATGTGAAATTTTAAAAAGAAGAAAACAAGTTAAAAATTTATTAAATTCAAGCATTTTAATACTATTTTTGAATGAAATGAAAATTTGTTAATAGAATTTTTACAAATATATTTTGTAATTTTATACATAAAAATGATAGCAAAGAAAAATTTTGTGTAATTTTTTGAAATTTCAAAATAATAATTTATATTTTATCAAAATAATATAATAATAATTTTTTTTTTAAAAAAAAAAGAACACTTTCAATGAGTAAATTTTTCTCTTTTTTTTTTCTTTTTTTTTTTTGCTTTTCAAAATTTGACAATTAGATTGATTTTCAGTAATATAAAATATTTAATTTTATAAGTAAACAAATAAATAAACTTTATGAAAGTACTCAGTCACTTAAATTCAATTACATAAGTAAACATAATGACCAAAAGTAAATAAAGCAAAAGTTAAATTTTAACATTAATTAGTAAATAGACGTGGGAAAATTTAACAAAGCATAAAGAAATTAATTTGAATAACATAACAAATATAATACTTAAATTTTTGTAATAAAATTGTTTACAAAAGTTAAATAAACAAAATGAAAAAAATAAATTGAAAGAGATAAATGTTAAAGAATTATTTGAATGAATTAGTCCTAATGAGAATGATATTTTACAAAAAGTTTAATTAATGATGTAATGCGGAAACGGGAAAAAGCCGCCACCACGGCTAATATGTTGTGATAATTGCAATAGTAAAACATTGCAACGACAATTGGAACAGGTGCTTTTACAACAATTTAAAATCATTGATAATATTTGTTCGAGTTGCAAACAATTTTGCTATGAATGCAAAAATGTAAATTATCAAATAAATATTATTTGATTTGATTTGATAGTTTAGCATGCATTTGCATGCAGGAAAAGAGAAATGCATGCAATTGTTGATTTAATAACTAATTAAATTATTCATTTATTTATCAAAAAATTTATTTCAACTATTTCATTAAAATTTTCTACAAATATTTTGCCAGCAATTTTTATATAATTTTTTTTTTTTTTTAAATTATTTATTTATTTTATAAGATATTTTATTATTTCTAATATTGGATGTAACTGAATTATTCATTTATTTATTAAAATTAATTTCATCTATTTCATTTGAAATTTTATATAATATTTTATTTTTTGTACAGTTTTTTTTTTAAATAATTTATTTATTTATATGATATTTTATTGTTTGTAATATTGGATGAAATAGTTCATTAAATGATTAAAGATTAACTGGGTGTCACATAATTTGTCAACGATATTAGTTTATTTGAAATTATTTCATTTAATAGAATTATGAAAAAAAAAAAGAATAATTTTTGTTTTTTTTTTTTTCAATTCCATAAATTGTGATAAGCTTTTAAAATTTTTAATTTGTTAGTTTTTTTAATGAAAAATAAATGCAATTTAAATTGTAATTTCTTTTGTTTTTTTTTCTTTGAGTTATTTCAATGAAAAATTGAAATTTTTGAAAGTTTTTCGAAATAAAATAACTAATAAATAGGTAAAAATTTTATTTCTCTTTGTTTATCATAATTATTTTTTTAATAATTAATCATAAAATAATTAAAAAATCAAACACTGAAATTAGAAAAATTAGCATTTTAATAATAGCATTATCATTATACTGGAATGGATTAACTTTTTATTACTAATTAAGTATATTAACGATTTTCCAAGAAAAAAAATTATTTTATTTTATTTAATTTAAAAGATAATTATTTAACAATGAAAGTGCAATACGTTTAATGAAACGTCTAATGAAACGTTTAATGAAACGTCTAACGAAACGTCTAATAAAACGTCAATCACTACGTAAATGTTACCTAGAAAAAAGGTATTTTTTTTTCCTTTTTCCTTATTTTTTTTTTTAAATTCATTAATTTTAGTGTCAAATTTTAACAGAAATCTCAAAAAAAAGAAGAAATGAAAAAATATTTCTGATTGAAATTGAAAAAAAAAAAAAAACACAAAAAAGTTTTAAAGACGGAAATTATAAATTAATGAAATAAATAATTAATAATCTGAAGTATACATTGTTTGCATTTCACTTGCATTTGCATTAAGTAAGCATAAAATTATTTTCAAATATAAAAATTTTTGTTTCATTAAATCATTGAAAATATTTGTTTAAATTTTTTTTTTTATTCTTAAAAAAAAAAAGAAAAATGTAATTTTTAAACGAATGAATGTACACATAAACAATTTTTTTTTTTTTTCTTATTCTTATCATTTTGGGAAAAAATTTTCCTTTTTATTTTCTTAAATTTATTGTCTTTTCTTTTCCTATAACTTTCGATTTTAATGTGTGAAATTTGAATTTGAAATATTATAATTTTTTGCCTAAAACTAATGATTATTGATTTTAAATTTTTACAAATAACATAGATAAGAGTAAGTGTAAGTTAAAATAAACAAATAGTATAACATATACAATTATTACAAAAAATGCATGAAATTCAAATTAGTGAATTTAAAATTCAAATTTCAGTTTTAAATTATCAAACAATAAAGATAAGAGATCTTAATTAAATAAAAGTAAATCATTTCATTCTAAATAAATAATTAATTAACAGCTATAAAATCTGATAAAGAATAATATTATGAGAGTAGTAAATGATTAAAAATAAGAAAGAAACAAACAAACAAACAATAATGAAAGAATTTTAATTATTTCAATTTTTACTTATTTACTGAATTCAATTAACAATAAAATGTTATGCATTTTAAAATTCACTAAATGAAATGAACATTGTTTAAATTTCCATTTCAAAATGCATTTTAATTTTAGAAGAGTTTAAGAAGAAAAAAAAAAATACCAAAATGGTATGCAACAATTAACATTTAAAAAAAAAAATGTAAAATTTAAATTCTATTTGAAATATTACTACTGGCAATGTGTCAATTAATTAACTATTTGAGTTTTTTTTTTTTTTTTTTTTTTTTTAGGGCAAATAATTGATAATAGTTTTTCAATTTAAAACTAAAATTACAATATTAGGTTACAATCGTTTTTTTTCCCTCTCTCTCTCTCTCTCTCTCCCTCCCTCTCTCTCGCTCTCTCTCTTTTTCTGTATAAAAATGAAGAATTATATTTGGAAATTTAAAACTTATTTTTTAAATTGCAAAATATTTAATCATTTTTTTCTAAAGTTACATTTGAAAAATTATTTTTCAAATTTCATAAATTATTAATTTCAAATGTATGCACAACAACTATGATGACAATTGGGAATGGAAATAAATATATATTACTAAATTTGTTGCACAAATTTCATTTGTTTATTTGTTTATTTTACCTGTCAATATGTAAACAATAATACTTATTGATGAATACAATGAATGAATTAGAATGTATTTCAATAAATTGTAAATTCAAGAATGAAATTTGAAGTGATATTAAATAAGCAAATGAAAGTAAAGCAAAATGGAATAGAATAGAATGAATTTCAATTAAATTAATTATTTCACCGATAAATTTCCATCAATAGTTCTAATTTAAAGTTAAAATTTTCAAAAGGATGATATCATGTATTTTAGCAACAATTTTACATAAATAAGAATTAATTAAACTTTAAATTATTAAATATATTTTTGCTCTTATTTCATTTTTTAATTAATCAATTCAAAATGTAAATTAATTTTACAAAAAAATAAATTTAATAGCAAAAATAATTAGTTTAATTTTAGGATGAAAAATGCATAAAATTAAATATGCTAGAAAGAAAATGAATTTTAAA